GCACCAAGTCGAATTTTATATTTATATTTTATAATGTCTTATGTTAAATTATTATCATCGTTATCACCAGAAAGAAAGAATTTTGTATATAAAATTAATAGTGAAATGCATAATAATGCTAATGCTAATTCTGATATAGAAAGTAGAAAAGATTATTTTTGTTCATTAGTAAAAAAAAACAAGGAGCTTTCTGAAAATGAAAAAGAATATTGTAAGGAAATGTTTATTTATGAGTTTGAATTAGATAAAGCAACATATAAACTGGGCAAACCAAAAGAATGTAACAAGTGTAAATTGACAAGATACTCTGATAGGTTCTGTGAAGGTTGCATTAATTTACAATTACAGAGTCTTTTCACCACTTGGACATCTGGAAATAATATAATTGATGATTTTATTCAACAATCTCAAATAAAATCATCTTTGCCAACCCACATTTTAGAATGGATACCTTTTGAACAATTTTATGATATAACAAAGTTGACAGAAGGTGGATTTAGTTCAATTTATACTGCTGGATGGACAAGAGGAAGAATAGTTGATTATGATGAAAACAAAAAGGAATTCAGTTATTTTAGAGAACAATATGTAGTATTAAAAAGTTTAAACAATTCAAGTAATCCAGGAAAAGGCTTTTTTGATGAGGTTGGTAGTTGTCATTTAAAACAATGCTGTATTATATAATATTAATTGATTTGATATTCAATAGGCAATGAATTATTGTAAAATTAAATCGGGGTTGATTGTTCAGTGCTTAGGTGTAACTAAATTCCCAGATAATGGAAATTATGCAATAGTTTTAAATTATGCTCCAGAGGGAAATTTAAGGGGTTATTTACAAAAAAGTCATTTAAAATTAAAAGACAGAATTACAATATTTAGATATTTATGTAGTGCATTAAATGATATACATCGGAAAGATTTAATACATTGTGATTTACATAGTGGTAATCTATTAATGGGTGGTGGAGGTGGTTGTTATATTACAGATTTAGGATTATGTGGACCAGTTGATGAAAAGTCATCAAATAAAGTCTATGGAAT